ATAAATAAATAAATAAATAAATAAATACTCACTCAAGGTGGCAAACATACCTAATACTCCTTCCTCCTCCTATCTTCCCCACAGCAACAACCCTGTGAGGTGGGTTCGGCTGAAAGTGACTGGCCCAAAGTTACCCAGCCAGCTTTCATGCCTAAGGCGGGACTAGAACTCCTGGTTTCTAAGCCAGCACCTTAGCCACTACACCAAACTGGCTCTCTTCAATCCAAAGATTAAAGAGCATTAGCAACTTTTGTCCTTACACTTGGTGTTTATTATAGGTGTTGCATAATAAGGGGACTTACTCCAAATCCCCAATGGTATTGGATGTCAGTTTGTTTTTCAGTAAAATATCAAAAATATTTTCTTTGTAGAAATTATATATTCTGTTTCTCTCCATATTCAGTATTTTCATGTAATATTTCAAGGTGGAGAATAGCATGCCATCTTGTTTTTGATGAGTCTTCCAGTGATGTGCTTATTTTTGTTAGCTACTTGGAACTTATTACTCTGTGAGCTGAGCTCATACTTGATTTTAGAAAGGTAATTAAAACTGACTGCCTGGTGGTATGTAGGAGTATCAAATATATATTACATTACTAACCACCAGGCTGTTACCAATATCCTTGCAGGTCAAGTAACATTTCTTAAAACACCTCTATTTAGGAACTTGGGGTGTGTGTGTGTGTGTGTCTATTTTATTTATTTGTAGTAGAACTTGGAGGATAAATATGCATGAGAGGTGTGATGGGGATGACACTGTCTCCTTGTTTGGGAGCTATGGTTTATAGCTACTTGCCCAGGAACAAGTTCATAGAATTCAGTGAGGGTTATTTTTCAATGAATATTTAAAACCACTATTTAATTCTCATCTTGTTATTTGATTTATATTTCATGTGTGAATGCTAGAATGGCCAGCTAATTAAAGACACTTCTGTCTAGTGCCTATGTATGTGTAAAATTAAATTGATTGTGTTGTTTGCAACTGTACTCTTAATGCTTTTCTTAGGAAACTATTATGTATATAATAGTTTATTATTATTTATTATTTATTTACCATTTATTTATTATTTATTATTATATACATAATAGTTTCTTAAGAAAAGCATAGTGCTACTGTGTTTAAGTTATGTAGGCATTTTTTGTAACAGGAACAACCTTAGAGGCATTTCTAATGCTTGCTGTTTTCATAAGCATCTATAATAACAATACTTAATAATTTAAAATATTTAAAATAAGCCATCCTTTTCATTGCTAAAACAGCATCTAATAAGTCAGTGAAATTCAGTAATCAACTAAGCATTGTTTTCCTAATAAATGTTCAATACCTTTTACAGATCACCTTTAAATCACAAAATATCTTCTGCTTCTTGTTTAATTATTTTTTGTAGTTTTATCCTGCCTTTTGTCTGAGAGCTCAAGGTGGAGGTTTTCTCTAATTCTATCTTCACAACAATTCTGTGAAAGAGTGACTGGCCCAAAGTCATCACTGGGAACTTGAATCTGGATCTCCTCAGTTTAGTTCCAATACCTTAATCATTACACAGTTCTGTTACTGTGCATTCAGTTGAGTTTGAAGAAGCCATTTAGACTATACAGTATAGGAATCTAAATTAAAATGTTGCACACAGATGACTCTCCAATCTCTGCTTGAATATATCCAATGAAGGTGAGATTCATCACTTCTCTGGTTAATTGGTTCCATTGCTGAATGGTTCTTACTATTAAGTTTTTTTTCTGGCATTCTTTTGGAATCTTGCCTCCTGTAACTTAAACCCATTATTCTGTACCTTGCACTATGGGATGAGAGAGAGCAGGTCCTGACCTCTCTGTGACATCATTTCAGGTCTTTGAGGAGCGCTTCATATCTCCCCTTAGTCTTTTCTCAAGATTTAGCATATCCACCTTTTTCAATCTCCATTTATAGACTTACCTTCTAGTTTCCTGATAATTCTCAGTGCCCTTCTCTAAACCTATTCCAATTTCTCTGAATCCTTTTTAAAGTGTTGTACCCAGAACCTGAGGTGGGGACTGACAAAACAGAATAAAGTCAATGGAGGGAGCTCATACAAAAGGTCTATCAATGGAAATTATTTGTCCTCAAAGACCTACCCACGAAAAGAATATGACTGATGCTGTCCATGATAAATTGTGAGCATTGGTAAAAAGTGTGGTCAACTGGTCGAGGGTGTTCTTTCGGGACCAAGCCATCACCTGGAAGAAGAGGCTGAAATCCAGAAAGGGATTTCTTAAGACAAGTGCATTTATGGTGGGTTTATGCAATGGAGCCAAGCAGCTAACAGATGCAGTGCAGACAAAAACTGAAATCAATATTAAGTATCAACCAGTATCAAGTCAAGGACAGTTCAACTTTTTCTCAAGAGCTATTATGAGCTTGCATTTGCTGCAGATATTTCCCAGGTTGTTTTCAGGCAGGAAGACGAACATGCTACAAGCTTTGCATTTCACAACTGCAGAGTCCTGCCTGTTCATCTTCATTTTTCCTGCTTAGGACACTGCCAGTAAAAGCCTTTCATTTCTTCTTGTTCCCTTCTTGGAGTTTCAGCTTAGTCAAACTACAAACCCTTCACCTAGAGAGAAAATTCATTACGATTCCCCTTAAAGTTCCTCACTGATCTCCCAGACAAACTTGTATTAGCACTCCCTGTTCTAAGGATGAGTTCCTAGATTGAGTCTGTTGGTCACGTTACCTATCATGATCATAAAAAACAGAAAAACATAGATTTCTATAATTCTCTGTTTCTAAACTACTTGGCTTGAATTCCCTCATGCTTCATTGTGGAAGATGTTGGTTTGTTTTGGGCCTGCTTGCTTTTGAGATCTATTTCTCTGATGGATATGGGGTCAGTGTTATAGAGTGGAGAAGCATGATTCACATTTGTAGTAATGTTACATTCACAAATGGATAGGTCATGACATGGGTTAATTTTTTCTTCTTTGAAATGACCAATAGAGGTAGAAGCAAAGTTTGAGAAAGGATATGGGATGAGAGATGTAAAAGACCTGATTCACATGGAACACATTGTAAATAAATGTGAAAGTAAAGAAGGGGACAAAATGCCAGAACTCACATTTACAAAAGGATTCCACATGATGCACGTCAATTGTTTCTGAGGTGCTTTCCCATAAAAACTACTCTCCGTTACAGATAATAGCTGGCAGTAATTCTTGGAAGCAGTTTTCACAGGAACTGCCATAGTTCTGCTGGCGTCTCGGAAAATAGGTGAGATAATAATTTGATTTGGGAATATGCCAGCAAATTTTTAAAGCAGAGTTTAGTTACATAATAGACAATAAAGATTTAAAACTATCCATAATATAGAGTGACAAGTTGTTATGGGCACAGATCCAGAATCCAGCATAGCTAGGGAAGATCACCCATGAGAAGTAAATGTCTGTAGTCCTGAGCTTTGTTTGTAAGCGTGCCAATCTACCTATGGGGAAAAAAGAAAAGGAAGTAGCAGAGAATATTTAGGAGTATTACTGGCCCAACTAGGCTGGGAAACTGTGTTTTTTTTTTTTCTTTAAACCAACCTAAATTATATTCATTGTACTTCTGTAGATAGCTTCAGTACTGAATATTTCTTAATCTTGTTTCTTGGCTTTATGAAGTATCCTATTTCTTCGTCTTAAATTAACTATTTTTTCTCTCTTTTTTCCCCCTTCTTCGTTTCCTCTTCAGGTGGCCAACAGTGACGTAAGACAATTCTACAAGTTTGCCTAAAGTGCCATTATGGCAGGCAGTGTTCCCCAAGACAGGTATAGTAGTTCTCCAGTGAGACAGAGAAGGTGCTGTTTCTGCTTGTGAACAAATGGATACTTGCACACATTTCATGTAAATGCAGTACATACTGTTTGCTAAACACTAAGTCAGGTGTCACTAAATTGTAATCTTGGGCATCTGTTGGTGCCCGCCTGTCCTGATGAGGCTCACTTTGGATATCTGCTGTGGGCCATCCTTTAAAGCATTCCTTTTTCTAGAATTGGATAGAACCAGACACCTAAATCTTGGAGTTGCTGCAAACTTAGCAAATATTTGATAATCGGGCAGAGGATTTTTACCTTGGCACTCTGGTACTAGAACTTTCCTCAAGAAGCACATGGTATCAGTTCTCCTTTTCTTACAGATGCAAAGCCAAATATAGTTACTATCTGAGGCTTTTATGAATTTACATAACCCTGTTAAGCATTTGTAGTTTTCTTATGTGGTTTACTATTGTGAAACATTTTTAGTTCAGGCTGTTTGTTTAATAGCTCTTAAACAGGTTATTACAACTACTTTTGTCTTTACTATGCCTTTATTTTTAATCTGTATTTTACACTACTTGGGGATATGTATTATGTAAGGATATTTGTGGGGTCCTTGGCGTTCTCTGAGCTTGGATGTTTTCTTGCAAACATTTCTTGCAAGTCTCACAACATGTGGGCAGACTCAACCATAGTTTCAACTGGAAACTATCAGCATCTTAAATCCAAAAACACAAGGGAATTCCTGGAAGCTTGGTATTCAGACAAGTCAGCCATCAACAGGCACACAGAGATAAACAATATTTACACACCATTCAAAAGAGACAATAAAAAGCTAAAAAGGAAACAAAAAGACCAGAGTACCTACTCAACACCTTGCCAGCAATCAACACCCAAATAAGCAGGGATTAATACTAGGATTAATCAGACAATACCAGACAAACAAGCAGTAAACAACAGCCTAATCAAGGAACAACCAAGGAGAAAACTCCCCACCAACATTGACAGGGCAAGTTACTGTATATAAACAGAGAGCAAACCCCATTCCCTTGTATACCGAAGATGTTACCTAGTTGGGTAATGAAATGTCTTCAAGAAAGCAACCAAGCTCAGAGAACACCAAGGATTCCACAGTTCAACCCTGAATATATTCTCTTCTAAGGATATTTGTAAATGTTATAGATAGACAAACAGAGAGACATTGTGGAGTTCTTGGTGCTCTCTGAGCTTGGTTGTTTGCTTGCAGACGTTTCATTGCCCAGTTAGGTAACATCATCAGTTTGAGTGATGATGATGTTACCTAGTTGGTTAATGAAATGTCTGCAAGCAAACAGCCAAGCTCAGGGAGCACCAAGAACCCTGAGCTATATATATACTCTTTTATTGGAAACAGACATGGATCATCTCACTTCATCATGTTTAGTGTTCATTAATCACCCTTGTTTCTTACAGATATAAAGCTGTTTGGCTCATCTTTTTCATACTTGGTCTTGGGACACTCTTGCCATGGAATTTTTTCATGACAGCTACAGAGGTAAATTAAGGGTATATGTGCATGATTTGTTCCAGATATCAGACCAAGGAATTGCCCATACCACTGATTCCCAGATTGTATGATTCCACTAAGATTAAAAGATGCAGAGCTTTAGACTGACCTTTGCTGAAAATACAGTAGTCCTTTTCATTTTAATGGGAGTTCAGTGCAGCTAACTCGCTCTCTGTTGCTCTATGCAGTTCATGTAAGTGATCATTTTGGGCCCATTTTCTAGCTTCTGAAAGATTGAGAGCACTGAAGAAATGTGACTATTTTATTCTTGCACGGGAAAGGCAGAGTTCTACTGTGTGAACCACTTAGGAAATAGAGGAAACTGCCTGATGTCAGAATTGGTTTGCTTCATGTTATCTGACCAATTCTTTGTTCATTTTCTATAGTACTTTACCAACCGCCTGCAGGATTCTCACATCAATGTATCGTCCATTGGTTCCCATGCTAATGTGAATGCCACAGGAAAAGAGGTAGTTTCTCCCACACATGTGCTGTCACTAATCAACTAGGTGAATTCAAGGGGGATGTTTGTGAGTTGTGTGACCAGCTGTGTTTGATTCTGAATCTCTCCATTAGGGCAGGTCATTGGAGGAGATCAGTGATTCTAAACTGTACACTTTGGTATGTTGCCAGTGGAACTAGGCTTTCAAAAATTAAGCAATATCTTGTATGTATCCAGCATTATGTAACTATTGAATAGGGGAGCTTTGATTCCTTCCCCCCCCCCCCCCCCCCCTATGATCAGTGACCTCTTCCTGAGGCTGGGAGTAAAATTGTTCTGGAATTTTGTTGGTGCTATTGTACTGCACTGCATTTGAGAAATGGAAGAATTCCAGATGTTTTACCACTGCCCAGCTACAGCAAAAGAAGGTGCCATGGTGCAATGCTACAGTCTTGGAGAAGGTGCTGGCTTCTATCTATGAGGCTGATGAAAAGGAGGGAGAAGTCAATAAATAGACATAAAACTGTTTTGAACATAACAGAAAAGGGTACCTTTAATTCTTAACTAGGAAAAAAGTATGCCACAAGATTCTTGGGAAAGATTCCAAAATACTTGGGGAAGATTCCATTACAGTCTAGAGTAAAACACAAGGACCTACATTGTCCCCCCCCCCCCCCCCCCCCCCCCCCCC